AACAACCTTCATCTGAGTAGTATTGGAACTATTCTTAACACCGACATGACATGTGACAACATGTCCACACGGCAACTGTTCTTCTGTCTGTGTCCACCTCATCAGCGTTTTCTACAGCCTACATATGCACTGATGGAGCAATTGCCCACTCTAAATAAAGAAATATTTAACAAAGGGATGTCACATGGACATGACATATTTAAAGATGTTTGTAAATACATGAATAAAAAGGCTCTTTCTCTTGCTCTTCTTAGTTGATGCAATGACAAAAAAAGCTTTTCGCTACACAGACTTTCAAAACCGGAACAAAAGGTGTGGGCTTTCACTTTGTGTCCCCGCTTCAGGCATGATTGCAGTGTTTCTGAATTATAAATATCTGTATCACAGTTAATAAATGAGTCACACTGCTGCTTGTTGAGACTGACGGCAGACAAAGCGTCGGATCCTCTCTCTCCGTCTCTTGCCCACTCCAGGTCTACTGATACTGAATTAGACAAGAGACAGTGATCTGTCCCATGAGCTGGGGTCAGAGTAGCCTCAGTATGTGCAGCAAACATCCAGGTCAGAGAGGTAACCGGCAAGATCAGGACCAGCGCTCGGGGGCTCTGCAGCCGAGATAAAGAAAAGCCACCCTGCACGGTTCAGTTGCTCATTTGAATGTTGATAATTGTGTTGGTAATGCTAATATATGTAATATATATGTGCGCTATGATATTTTATCATAACAAACAGACTCACACACACACACACACACATTCAAACACAGTATAATCCCACACAGCACAGTACATGTAACAAAGAATACCAGCAGGTGCTGAGGAGGCTGTTTAACTTTTATAATTTACTCCTCCCTGGAACCAATCAAACTACATCCCCATTCAGCTTCTCAGTAGCTCCCAGACTCAGATAAACAGAGAAACTTCATTGTTGGTTAAATAAGTACTGCAAAAGTGACAGCTACTTACTCCACGTTGTGGCAGTCAATACTGTTTGGATTAGATTGGCTTCATGTACTGTGTGACGAGTTTAACTGGGAGTTTGGTCTGGATTACTGAAACAGCCGTGACAAGATCTGCTGGATGATTCACTGACTTTTTGTGTGTAACAATGAGGCCTGCGTTTTAGAGAGCATTTCCAAATAGATAGTCGGCATCAATGTTGACAGTAGCTGCAGTCTTTTTCTTCTTGTTGCATGTCTTTTTATTTTCTGTTAAAGCCATGAATCACTCTTATAAGTTCCCTCACTTTGAGCAACACAATTTGTACTTCTCTATTAAGCGGAATGCTAATAAAGCCTATTGAAAATTGAAGTGCCAAACATGTCCAAAGCCGTCTACCTCCCATATGCAGTTAAACGCCTCCCCAACAGTTTGCCCAACACAGCACTTCAAAGAACAGCACAGCTCAGCAAGGCGGAGGAAAGTAAAAATGTAGCGAGGAAAGGAGAGGTAACTGGTAGAGAGGCAGGAAGGGAAGCACTACTAAATAGAAAATGAAGCCTACAAACAGGAGAGGATGCCGTTCTTCATGGGTTCATGTCATATACCTAGCATTCAGAGAGTAAGGCTGCTACTGGCTCTGCACTTACTTCTCTCTTCAACTTAAAAGGAGGAAAGAGGAGGAAGAGGAGGAGGAAGAGGGAGGCTCCCCAAACCGAGAGGAAGTAAAGGAGAGGGTGGGGGGGTGGAAGTGGGTCGGTGGGTGGCAGAGGGGAAAGGGAGGGAGGGGGGTGAGTTGGGTGAGTGAAGGAAAGGCGGGAGGAGTGGGGGGTGGAGGTGGCGGTGGAGGTTCTTGGGACATCAGAGTGGTGGAGAGGTGGTGGGGAGCAATGTTCCCTCTAAGGCTGTGGATGCACTACAACGTTTGTGTATCAGCACACCGTGAACACACAATGAGCTGACCATCTCTTTTAAGTCAAAGAGTTATGGGGCACTTCTGAGACACTTTAGATTATCACACAGTTCCATTCCATTGCTGGTTGTTTTCAGTTAACTTATCTGTGGGGCCCTTTATGTGGCCTTTAGGAGTTTGATTTAAAGCAATTTTTTCAAAATCCCTGAGCATGACTTTTTGCATCAATAGCCGTGTTTCCATTCAATCGGCGAGCGACTTATGGAGCCCCAGAGGACATGGGGGTTAGAGCGGCTGTGGCTTCTGTTTCTGGGCTCTAGAAAAATCTGATCAGACCAAATGACCTGTGAAGGAAACATTTGAGATTCAGCTTTGTATTCTCCTCATCCCGTCCTGGTCCTACTTCTTTAACCACAGGTCGCGGAGGTGCTCTGTATCACGCATCCCTAAACTATTTCCTTTCAAACCCTTTATTGGGACTTAAAACAAGCTTTTCAATGCCAAGGAGACGTGTGAATGAGGCGTTTTTCCATTACACTGGTTTGGTGTGAATAAACTACACTACGCACAGCAGAGTTTGTTCAGAACAACATGAGGAAAGTCTTCAAGAACTTGTTTGACTTGGTAGAGTTAGTTTCTCTCCCATATCAGCTAATATTGGTATGTAGTGCTTAATGCAGATTGGAGATGATTATTGGCTACAGACGCTGACGGCAGAAACAGCTGATCCGTTGCTAGTTGAATTTGCTAAGTCAGAATTTTGCCTCCCTTGAGCCATCAAATCTTATTGGGAAAAAAAAACTGCATAGAAACAGTTCTGAACAATTAAGGAAGTTTTATGGATTTCATAAAAAGCTTCCCTAAAAATATAAGAATGGAAACACGGCTAATACAATAAAATTGCTTGATTTCTCACATATTTAGTAACCAAACGCAGACACAGCCTGCATTTCCTGTGTAAACTCTATGCTACATAATAATGTCATTTTCATAACACTTGGTCGTATTATTCCTGCATCCAAAATACTAATTTACGGTGAAGACTAATCTGTTTGATTATGTTGTTGCCAACAGAGCAGTTTTACACTTCTTTGGATTATTATTGTGTACCAAGCTAATTATTTGAGATTACACTATTAATATTAACAAAGTAAAAAGAGACTTTTCATTCATAAATTCACCTTGAGGCTACACAACGTTTTCAGTTTGGTTACTTCTTTAGTACTGGGTTAGGGTTAGAGCTTAAATGATTTGATGATTAGTCGATAAACCAAAAATATGTCTTTTGGATGAATCAAATGCTTTAAAAAAAAGGACCAAATGGTATCTGTTGTTTGTAATAAGTGCGCCCAACAATTTAATTAATCCAAATTACTTTTTGGGGGGCATGGCTTTTCTGGATGGGCTGTCAGTGTTGCTTGCTTGGATGACTTGTTTTATCAACCTACAAAGCTAGTGTTGCTAATTAAAGTCATTGGAAAAGAGTTATCAACACCGGGTTGGATTTTGAGGATAATCTTTTCATAATCTTTTTAGTTTTCAAAAATTACCAAACCCAACTGTAGTAGCCTTCTTTATGTGTTTTTATATAAAGGCCAAATATCCTCAATTTACAACTGCTGTATAAAACATACTTGTTGCTTTTCTTCATATATGTGATCGTAAAAATTAGAATACTCTTGGATTTTGGGCAGTTGAGTTAGCCAACATAAACATTGATAAGAGCAATTCTGTGGTCTGAGATTTGGAAAATCAAACAAATCATTAATAGTATCATGGAATAATTAATCAACATATTAGTAAATTAATAATACAAATAATGGTTATTTGCAGCCCCAATGGTATTTCCTAAAACTACTATCTGCTTAAGAGGTTTTTAATTTCATCACATTAACTTGGTACATTTAATTACAGCCCTTCTATTACCGGTTCTAGTGTGTCCCCAGCTTTGGCAAGCAACATCCAGTCATGGTTTCCTGCCATGTGAATCTGCAGTTTTCATTCCAGCCAAACACTAAAGCAATGAAGTTATGCAGATGTGTTAAAGAAGATCCTGGACTTTGACCTGAAAGCAGCCCAACAAGCTGCCATGCACATCCACAGCGTTGTCATGTAACGCTGCATAAAAGGCTATTTTTGCATCCCCCTTGTTAACATTCCACCCCAAATCTCAATCCCATAGAAGCAGAGAGTGCTGGGCGCTCTCCGTGGTGCTGAAGTAGTGACCAGATTTGTGATTGTGCTCTTATGTCTTAGATGAATAATATAGTAATAATATTCTCAAAATTATACTGTATGAATAGTCAATGATATACCATATGTTAGTCTATGTACAAAGTACTTAGGGACAATAGCAACATGTAGTTCTGAAAGACTGACAGAATGATTGAGACGCACTAATGTAGGAACTGTAATCATAATTGACTGTCTCAAGTACTCTGGATGTCTGGCAAATAGCCAGAATAGATTGTAAGAGGCAACATACTGCTCTCTGATTGAGGGGGCAAAATCACCACATCAGCCTTTCTAACACAGGTCTAGCTTCTGATATAAAGTCTGAACATGGGTTTACTTTCAAGTGTGATGATACTTAAATCATTAGAATCACTTTTGTTGTAGTTGTCTCAAGACCCATCTGAAACTTTCACTAAAGGCAACCTAGAGATTTCATCCACTTTGTCTGAGCCACTTCAAATTTTGACAGAACAATCCCGAGGCCTTGGTGATTAAGAATGCTGTCACTTGCAATGTTTCTGGTTTTAGTATATTTTTCAAATAAACCAAATCAAAATTGTTGCAGGTCAACCCTGCAAAACTAGTACCTCATGACTTATAACTGAATGTGCCAGAATAGCAGCTGTGCACGTCTGGGAAATAGTGGCAAAATTTGTCAAAACTTCAGAATAGCCACTCAAGTAATGGATTCCACCGATTGTTTTGCCCTCCTCTAACTGACGCCATTCTTCAGCAAAGTCAGAGAGTGTAGTGTTTGGTAGGACTGAAAACGTGGAGGGTTGCAAGACTGGACATCACCGATTTAAAGGAAACATTGGTGAGGAAAGTAAGGTGTGCAGAAAAGGTAGGCAAAAGAGGGGGAAGGAGAGTGAATCGACTGGTTTTGGATGGGAGTCGGGGGAGGAATTAGTTACCTGTAAGAAATGGCAAGAGCGCTCCTGCAGCTGACTGCCCTTAGATTTGACTAGAGCTCTATCTAGGTTTAGGTTACTGGCTCCTGCGCTGGCTCGAGGCTGGTTGTGGCTGCTGTTGTTGGTGTAGACCTCTCTGGCCCTGCTCACCGTTAGGCTTGACGACCATGCCCCTTTCTTCACAAGGGGCCCGTCCACAAGACCCAGAGACAGCAAGGGGCCACTTCCTCCAACGACACCGCCACCGCTGATTTTGCTGCTGCCACTAACTGGCACACATGCCGACGACGCCGCGTACTTCACATCGTTGTTGCTCCGGGAGACTTTGAGTGCAGAGTGGTGGTGCGTGTGGCCATGGTGTGCGTGGGTGTGGGCATGAGTGTGTGTGTGCTCGTTGAGGGTGCCGTAAGGGTCCATCATGAAGTATTGCTGGGACTGCGAAGAGGAGAGGGGGATCTGGGGGAACTTGTCCTGGCTGTTGCCGGGGTACCGGCCCATTGTCATGGCGATGGGCGAGGGGGAAATGGAGGGTGAGGGTGATGGCGGAGGTTGGTGGTGGTGAGGGTGGTAGAGACTCAGCTCCCGTTCCAGGTTGTCGTCTGAGCTCCAATACCCGGAGCCCGGAGCAGACGCTGAGCCGTGGAGCTGGTGGTGGGGGTGGTGGTGGCTTCGATGCTTGGGCTCCGCTGACCGACAGCGCTCGCGGCTCTTGCTGCGCTTCCGCTGGCGCACTCCCACTGGTGGGATCTCACCCTCCGGGTTGGCCCTTGAGCCACCACCACCACCTCCTCCTCCACCACCACTACCATTAACGCTCCCGTTATTGGCCCCCTTGGAGTTTTGTGGGTGGTGCGGCCCTTCCAGCGAATGTGACTTTGTGAAGAGTTTTTGGACTGAGTGGACCAGGTGACGAATTCTGCCTGGGCTGTCATTGTTGTTGTGTTGCGCCCCCACACCCCCACTGTGGGCCAGCACTCCTCGTTTGTACTGCAGTGTGTGGTAGCCATCTCTGGGGAACGATGGCTGGCGCTCAAACGGCTCTGGTACCCGGGTGGGCGTTTTGCCCCCATAGCCCCCTCCACCTCCTCCTCCTCCCCCTCCTCCAACTATATATGGTACCATGGCCATACACTCATCCTTTACCTCAGGATGGTGGGATGAGGAGGTGGAGTGGCACCTCCTTGGGAAGGTTCCGTATGGGACGATGCTGTTGCTTTCAGAGGGGTACGGGGTTCGCTGAGCGTTGTAGTAGGACAGCTCAGCTTGATGCGGCATGGGAATGGGCACAGGCATGTCATTCTGACTGATTAAATATGGCTTGCGGTCAACATGGTGACCCAGTAGATCATATGATGGTTCATAGGAGACCACGTGATGGTGACTCCGACTACCGGACAGGCCTTTCATGACAGGGGGGGAAGGATGGGTGGTTGGAAAGAGGAATGGTATGGATGAGAGCTGCCAGGCAGGCCTGTGACCAGAGAAGGGCAGCAGGAGACTGTCCCTGGAAGGAGAGCTGCAGACTCTGGAAGACAAGAGAGGAGCAACAAGAAATTGTTAATGCGAAGCAATACATTTTACAACAAAACAGTTTATGACAGTGAGTCCTGTGGCTTTATTTCAATCTTATTAGTGTTGTGGATATAATTACTTTTCTACTTTCGACTTAATGATAGCATGCCCATGTGCCCCATAGTCCTGCTTCAATGTAAGGTGTCTAACTCAAGGACAGTATAGTCCACCCACTCGAGATTGTTGCAATATGGATATGGAGCTATTTGATAAAATATTATCCTTAAAATATTATTATAATTGTTGTTATTATTAGTTATTGGAAGGAAGGAAGGTAGACCATTGGTTATATCATCACCTTGTTTTCAGTCGATAATGGCCCTCATTGGTTCATTTAATGACCATGAAAATGTTGTGGCCTAATTTTATCAATCTGACTTGATTAGCTTGATGGATAAAGAGCAAGTTCCTCTGAGTAGAAAAAAATTAACAAAAGGTGTATTTGGCCACATAGTTAATTTGTTCATGTTATTCAAGTTATCCTAAATTAGCATTTAGCAACTCTACCAGGGGCAGGCCATCAACACGTTCCTCATTGCTAAATGTAACGTGACAGGTTTAAACATGTGGTTAATATTGTGAAACGTTTGCATTCCCATGCAGTGATTTTCAAAAAGTTATAGCGCCACCTATTGGCAAAGGGAAATGCAAAAGTTGTAAACTTTGATTAGCTACTCATAGCCCGTTTATCTAATCAACCTCAAATTTGTGCAGATAAGCCTTAAGACTTTGATGGTTGTTCAGGGTGAATATTGGGAGTTTTTGTTTTGTTTGAATATTCCTTCTATTTATTGCACTTTCTAGACGCTATACTCCTCCCTGGGACTTTGTCACAGCCAGCTCAAATTTAGGTGGAACAATCCCAAGGCCTTGGTGATTAAAAGTCATTAAAAACGTTTTGTTTTGTGTTACGGTGTTGCCATGACAAGCGGTTAACCAGTCAAAATGACTAAATACGCTCCAATCTTTACTAAACCTGGAAAACCTCAAATTTGTGAATAAAAGCCTTAAGACTTTGATGATAGTTCACTGTGACTATTGGGGGTTTTGAAAAACTTTGTTGCCGTGACAACACGGCCATCACATGAAAGTTCAAGCAGATATTTTGGAGCCTTGGCAAACTCCAAAACCTCTGTCAGTGTCCTAGGTAATAACATTACAGAGCTGATGTGGGTTTTTGGCTCAAAAGTAGCAAATTGCCTCCATAGCCCCCCTGGCAGTTTTCAACAAAGTAGCCCCAGCATCCTGTTTGACCTATATGACATATGTATAACAGAGAGACTTAAAGGCTCTTGGCTCCATGCTCCAAAATGAGTAGGAAGTTGGTTATAACTTTCTAGATGCTCTACTTTGACGAACTCCTCCCAGGGACTTTGTCACAGTCCCTTTTGACAAGGCCTTGGTGATTAAAATATATCAACAACTTTTTGTTTCGTGTTCGTTACGCTGTTGCCATAGCAACCCATTCTTCAAGGTCAAAACGGAGGTGCTTTTGAGGGACTTAATATGCTTTGATCTTTACTAAACTTGGAACACACGTTCACAGTTGTAAAAAGATGGTTACTTCATATGATTTCCATGCTTCCTAATGGCATTTTGGCTCGATAGCGCCCCCCTACACATATTCATAAAGCAGCCCCAGCAACTGCTTTCATCCAGGTGCACTCATTTAGAGGTCAGAGCTTTGACAGAGTTGTGCATATTCCTCCAGTATATCAGCAGAATAGGCATGAAAATAATACATCAAGTTGTTCAAATGTCCCACTGTGACCGACATGACTGGATCTCCACATCCTCACTGGAGAGAAATGATCCACTTGATAAAAGCAGAGGTCTGTGCAGGCACTTGACCACAGCACTGCTCTCTTCAGGGAGCCACCAACATTGTCCTACAGCTTCAAATGTTGGTGACTTTGTTCTTCAGAGACACATTCAGTGTGTTCAGTTCGTTAATGTAATTACATGCTGACGCTTTTGTCCAACGAGACTTACAATAACTATAAGGATACAAACTCAAAAGAACGAGAAACAACAAGTTGTGTAGTCTGAAGAGGTGAGTCTTTAGTTTGCGGGGGAAGATGTAAAGGCTCTCTGCGGTCCTGATGTCATCAGAGTTTGGGGTTAGGCCGCATATATAACTGTAAAGCGGGTTAGTGTTAATAAAAGTTTTTTGCATTGTGTAGTCGGTTTCGTTTTTGTAATTTTATTTGTAAAGAGTTATAATGGTAGGGAAAACACTGGGATGTCCCATTTGCTAAATAATACTAATGTTATGTCTGTAGCAATTTCCCAATTGAATTTTCCCAATTTTGTACATATTTAATCCAATTTACCAACAACCGTTTTGTTCTCTTATAGCCCAGGTGTCAAACTAAAGACCCGCGGGCCGAATCCAGCCCCCCAGGGGGGTCCAGTGCGGCCGCCGGATGCATTTGCTATGCCATGCATTGAGAATTACAAAAAGACATAAATTGCATTTCTACAATAGTAGCTGCTATTTCTAAAAAGTCCACTGGGGCTCGCACACTGTGAGTGAGCGCATGCGTTAGACCAGGGGGACCAGGTTGTTCACTAACGCGGTAGATCACCTGCGATTGGGGAAAAAAAAATCACGTCAGGTTACCACGTGAACAGTTCTGACAGACGAGAGGCTCGTTGTGTCATTTTTATATTGATTCGTTTTGCGCTCCCAGTATGCAGTGATGTTGTTCCGTATTATTATTGCGGGCGAACTGCCCAAGCGGGATGGGGGGTAGATCGCCATGACTTGGATTGAAAAGTTGAGTGACAAGTAGCTTGCGGGCCAAAAAAGTGTTGGGGACCCCTGCGTTAGACCTTTTCGACCACAGCGTCACTCCTGGCAGCAGCGCCATCCTCCCTTCACCGAATATTCTGGATCACAAGCAAAGTTGCCAACAGTGGCAAAGGTTTTTCAGCCGCACCCTCGCTTTGTAGACTACTGTATATATGTATATATCATATATTGTGTATTGTGTATACCATTTTTTTCATATCTGCTTAGAGTCACTTTGCTTGAGAGCCCTTTGGATGCTTACACACTATTTACCTAATTTACTGCGTCCGGGTAGGATCGACCAAAAGCAGTGTGAAATTGGCCCTTTCGTAAATCTTGGGCATAGCTCAGGTGAATGTCCCATCTGTAATTTCTAGCTACTCTATATCAGATGATGATGCTGTCCAATCTTTAATGCAGTATTTTACGTATTTGGGTCAAACGACAGAGTTATTTATTTGTATCTATTAACTGCATTTTAGTTTACCGTGGTCATTTATGGAAAACACATCTGTGAACATCTGTCAAATGTTTTAACATGAAATAGAGCTGCAACAATTAGTCGACATAATCGGCGATGACGATTATGAAAAATTGTCGACGCGTTGTATATAAAAAAATTCAGAGCTACTGGTCTTTTTCATTCGCCGTTGCAATACACCACAGGAAGTGGTGGGGGCTGTATCGCTTCCATTGTCTACATGCACCAAGGCGAAGAACAAGTTTATCAAGTTGAACGTGAGCGAAAAAGCGAGGCGGAGACTTTTAAAAGTCTGACAGTATTTCATCAGCAAACGGTTTCAGTACGGTTTCCGCACGCTCTCCTCCACACAAAAGCGGTAAACTTTCGGCAAAAACTGCATATATCAACTCAAATCTCACACACAAGGTCTCCATGAGGCCCAGCTAGGGACTGAGAACAAGCCATGCTTGGGGTAAAACCAGACCTCTGAATCACGGAATTAAATTGGAAAGGTGGGGGCTTGATTCCAGAACTGGAACCAATAAAGCCAAACATAAACACAGGTAGAGGAGAGATGATGACTAAACATATTAGTCCTTTTTCAGTGCTTTTTTCTTTTCTAGTCAGTGGACGGGGCCAAGCTCTCCAATCATCTTGCTCTTATTAGAGCAGATAAGAGTTTTGAAAGAAGTCCCGTCGCTCAGATCTTACATAACCGTGAGTTCACATCTCTGGCGATTCTGGGAAAAGGCTGCAGGGTTCAGACTGCTAGCCAGGCAGTTTTTTTTATCACAGATGAACCACCATCCATTTGCGGTGGCGTTGTGGGAAAGGTGAGTGTGTGTGCATGTCTGTGTGAGATTTGTCTGTCCTGCTTGGCCTGTGACACAACTGCTTAACACAACCTGACAATTTCACTGGTAGAATGGCTGCTAACAAGCATCAGTACAACACAGTACAAGGTCAAACAACTACACGTATATAACGGCTTGATATTTCACACCTGGGAGATGTGATTTCATGAAATCTAAGCTGGTAGCCTGAGAAACCCACAGAAAAGTAAAGGTCACAGCTTAATGTCCATCAAAAGAGTCCCTCACAACCATTGTTGCTAACGTGTGGGAAGATTAACTAATTCTTCTGATCATGAAGCCTTACCACCAAGAACTCCAAATAAACTGAACAAGTGGTCTTAGACAGTAGTGTATACATCCTGATTACCCACAGAACCACTACTTACCATTCTATAATTAACAAAGAAAATAGGAGTAGTAAGATATGATATGAAGGCTATAGGTTTATTATCTCATTAACTAAACTTATAGAATGAGTAGTGTAACTGAACATCATTGGTTTCTTCTATTTCCATCAATGTTTTGTAACTGAATGAATCCTGAATCAAACACTGGATGTGTGCTCTTTGGGTGATTATGGGTTGGGAGTCCTGGATTACTGTCTGTAAAGACATTGTGCTCTCAACACTGTGTCTAAAAATAAAACGCAACTGAATTGAGGGAGGAAGTGATTCACTTCAAATGATGCGTTAGTAAAGTCAGACATTACTGTGTAAGGACTAGGTCTTAAAAATGCTGCATTTTTCCCCGACTAGCACAATATACCTTAGATTACATCACAAAGGACTTTAAAAAAGAACTAGAACAAATATAAAGTATGGGTAGCTGGTGGTTAGTCATTT